CGATATCTAGACTATTTTCATCCATGAATACACGTTACTACAAACGCACCGAATCAGGAAATATTGAATTTTAAACAAGAAAAGCATTCCAAAAGAAGTGATGATAATTATGACAAGAGCGTAGCTTTTACAGCTATATCAAGAGAAAGAGTTATATAAATAAAATATTGCATAAGCTAATGCTTATATCGCATTGGCTTAAAAAATTTTCCAAAAAAATTTGACGTCCTACCCATGCAAAAATAAAAACTTCAAACTTAAATTTACGAAGTATTGCCTAATACCTCAGACGGCATTTTGCCATAAATAAAAACTGTGGACATTATTGAAAACATATGTAGTTATAATAGTAACTAACAGCTTTTAGACCGTTTAATGCTAATATTCAAATTCAGCTTCGAATTCTAGCAAACGACTCGTCATTTCCGTTATTTTTCACAAGGGTAAAGTGAACATAATTTTCATTAAAAAACTGCCTGCCAACAAAGAGAGCCATCCCGCCAGGCAAGAATTTTTTGTGTACTTTGCCATATTAAATATCTAGACGTAAGAAACCATTATTATTAAATATATACTCAAAAAAGAATTTTAAAAATTTATGGTATTTGTTTCTATTTTGGCATTCATTTTTGAACATAAAACGGTATAAACAGGAGCGTTTCAAAATAGTATAAGAAAATATATCATCGATTGAAAAAAATACTGTTGTAAGCGATATACAAAACAAGAAGATTTATTTGAACACGGTCATATAACATTCTATTGAAATTCAAGATCCATAATCAAAACTGGCTTCTTAAATTAAAATCTTAAGAAAAAGACATCGTTTCACAGTTTCCAATAAATCACACACTTACAAAAAGTGAAAGCTCACGCGACTTGTTACATCCTCACCTTTGTTGACGACTTCAACCTGGGAAGACGGTCATATGAAATACTCTTTCTTAATTTTGATTATCAGTACTTTAATGTCAATATTAATTTTTATTAACTGTTCAGTTTTAAAGTAGTTGCTGTAAGTTGATTTTTATAAGCTATTGTTTGCTTTTAATTAAGTTTCGTAATCATAATTAATTAATTTTGGGATTCTTATTTTAATCAGGTACTTACCGAATGCAAATTTGCAGTCTTCGCTACTCGACATTTGACTTAAAAATCGTCAATCTATCGACATTTAAAGGAAATCGGAAAAGATTATCAATATTCCGAGAAAAAAAAAATATCTAATTTAAAACACTATTTACAATTAATACAATAGAAGAAATTAAACATACAAAAAATGATATTTTTCACATAACACGATACAATACTGTTGTTCTCCACATGTGTACAGCGATTTGTTTTCTCTTAAAAAAATCACAAAATTGTACAAAGTAAGCATTGCGCACAACATAGGCAATGCGCGCAGACTAGGTACTGCGCACTATCTCAAAACGAAGCACCAACCTTGATCGCGATCCCCCTAGAACAGTTGAACTTCAACACGCACTCCAATGTAATGAAAAAAAAGAGGGTTCTTGCTTTTAACCTTTAAAAAGAATAGGCCGTTTTAAAATAACAGATAATAATTCAAAACATAGAACTAGTAAGCGAGAAAGAAATATCACGCATTGATTTGAGTTCTAAAACAAATAACACTTCCAAAAAAATGACTCAAGGATGAAAATTAAGCTGCCAGAATAATGTCATTATTTAATAACGAAATCACAAATTAGGAATGCATCCGGTACTTCACTTTGTAGAGTAATCTAGCGTGTCTTTCTTTCGTGCTGCGGGTAAGCTAATAGATCCAGGGCTACAAAATTTGGTACATAGGTGCATTTAGATAACAGCCAGTGCACCTCGAAGCGATGTTTTTCAAAATTCGAATGAGCGTTTTTTTTTATTTCATGTTTTTTGATGAAATTGCAACAAATCGATAAATGACACACAGCCATTGTTCTTGATATATCACTGTTGCCATTGTTGTTGATAACAGCACTGTTACCACTCGGAAAAATGAGGGCGATCATTCTGTGCAGTTTTTAAATTTAATGCTTCTCTTGGATACTGGACGTTTGTCGAGAGAAGGCAACGGGAAGTTGGTTAATTTATTTATTAGGATAATTATTATTTGTGTTAAGAGATAGTGCTTATTTCATTGTAATCTTTTTATATGTGATGCATTTTTATTGAAATTTGTGTTTTTTGTTATTTTTTTTAATAAAGTTTTCTGCAGAGTAAAATTCTGTGCAGTTTTTATATTTAATGCTTGGTGTTCCCTTTAGGCATTTTTCTGGTACATTAAAAGTCAGAAGAAGGCTAGCGGATGGTAATAAATAAAACATACTTTCAGTCCTCGGCTTCAGCCGAATGTATCCGTATCTTAGAAGCGCAAACTGTTTCTCACTTTCAAATGATAATGCTTGTATACTTCGGCGTTGAGACAGCTGAACGCTCGGAGCTGTCTCGAAAGTAATCGATTTGTTACAGTTTACTGTGTTACTCTGGTGCCAATAAAACCTCGGATGTATGCTGCAGATGCAATGCGATACGCCACAGGCATGCTAAGAATACGGCCGACTTCCCTTAGAGTGATGGCCGGACGTGTGCGGCCAGACCTTGGCCTTCTTGTGATAGTACCTTTCAGTGACAACGCATGCACACTGGATACATCCGTTGCAAGTCTTGTTTTCAATATTGCGAAAAAAATTCCACCTTCTCTTACACGGCCTCGTTTAAACTTGGTAACAATACTGTCATCTTCGTCTCCTTAAAGGCAGACTCAAATCTCTTTCACAACACCCAATCCAAAAGACAAATAAAGTATACGAAGTTCACATCTTTCGTATTTAAACCGTGTGATTCGCATGTTCATAGTGACACTCTTAATGGCACCTTATTCGTCTTGTTCGAAATGTGAGTGAACGTAATCTTCCAGATGTGGTAACACGCCTATCAAATATCTTTTATCTAGCAGAATTCCTTCTTGATTTTTCATCTTAGTTGAAATATAAGTTTCCTTCAGTATATAAAGATAAAACCTGTTGTTGAGTGAAAATCTGTTTGAAAATCCAGCATCTTTACAAGAATGACAGGAATTTTTACAGTATACGTTTGCATGTTATAAGACAAAAAGTTTACTTCGTGTCGTTTCAGGTGTTTCTTGATTTAAGTTTTGCTTGGTGTCGCTTTATTTGTTTTAAACCTGAGTTTGCTCGCAAAATATCGATTTTGTATCGTATTCACATCTTAATTTGATTCATATTCATCGTATTATTGGAATATATAAAGGGAAACCTAAATGCGTCCAAGAAGGGTTGAATTTTTCACTGCAGACAAATATCAGAAAAATAACTCGCTTTGTTTCTTACATTCACGACAAAATGTTTTTAAAAGGCTTGGGAAGAGACGTTTTTTCTTTAAAAATATTACTTGATTCAGTTTGTTAAACATTTTCCAAAGTAAAAGCAACCGATTCTAATATAAAAACCTTCTTGCTTCGTGATATAAAAACATACTACCTGAAAAGGGCGTATTTTTCTTTATTTGCGTTCTCGGAATGCTAAGCATGTTTTATCCCCCAGCTAGTTTATTTTCACTTTATTTTTTCAACTGAATTTTAAATTTTAAATGTGAAAATGTAGACTTTTTAAACTTTCATCATAATAAATTTATTAAACCATAAGCTGGTCGTATAAAATGAGACGTTTTGTTTTGACTGCACAATAATTCACTTATTAAACTTAATTTTTGCCTTAACTTTTATAAAAGGAAGAAAGGGAGACTATCATTAGGTAAACTCAAACAAATAATAAAATTTCACTGCGTATATGAACCAAGCATTCTTCATTTGTTACAATCATTTTCTCACGCAGTAATCAGTAGGAATGTCTGTAAAGGATTGCATAATCTCTAAACAACTGCACAAAACGGGAAAGTCAAAATCTTCACGGAATCTAATCTCAAAAGTATGCATAACACAACAGTTTCAGAAACTGTAACATACATGTACAGAAATGGTTACAGAGCAAGAGGACAGTGTTGCTTACCTCGAAACATTTTGAAGACAGAACAGACTGAGAACTAATATTTAAATCTCTGAGTTTTCGGTTACTCGAAATTACACACTTGTTGTGAACTGCCTACTTAATGTATAGCAAAGAGGAGACTGTGCTGAATAAGTTTCACATGTCAATGCAAAATATATTATTGACTGCATATGAAATAAACTAAAAATAAACCACAAAACAATATAAGAAAATTATTTGTTACATTCAATACTTCAACCAACATTGTCATTAAATTTCATCACCACTAATAAGTAAAGAAAAAGCATCCGAAAATAATGTGCACGCACTGATAATCTCAAAATTCTGTATCAAATTAAATGCAAACACACTTTTTTCCCCAAAACAAAATTATTGTAAAGAATTTCACAAATGCACAGTGTGAAAACGCATCGATTTTTCTATGCGCATGCAAATATCATTAATATAGCACTCATTAATACACCAATAATAGAATTGTTAATATAAACAGTACTAGACTCCATACAGCATACTGAATTGCTGTGCATATACATTTAAATAGTCTAAAAGCCAACTATTGTGAAACATTCGGAAATCGTATAAAGGTTCATAGCACACTGATAAATCTTCATAGCGCACAAGGAGTTAATTATTCTATCACAGACATACAAAGTTATTGGAAAATAGTAGCATCGATAAACTTTAATGGAACGTTTATATAAGCACGATATTATTTCACAAAACCACGTTTTTCCTTCGTGTTCGTACACGGTCTTACATTTCGCTCATTTTTGCCAAACGATATGAAGTATTAAAATCGTCTAGACGGGAAATGTCTCTTATTCCACTCATTTCTTATTTGGGGACTGTAAATCTTTCAAACGTTATGTCGTCTTGCAATTATCGAACAGTCTCTATTTTTAATTAGGATTTGTAATTTATTGCTAAATGAAATAGGGAAAGCACTGAAATCTCTTCTAAATATCTTACCTGGTCTGACACAGCTCAGTCCACACAAGCCATCACACAAGCACCTCTTCTTTGCACTAATGCAATCGGAATCGTTTTTGCACTTTCGTAAACACTGACGTCCGTTTGCCTCCGCCTTTTCACGGTCTCTGCGACAATCGGCTGTTCCATCATCTAATTCACCATCATCCATATCTGTTGATAAAAACATTACGGTTACTTTTCAGCAGGAAACCTTTAATGAGTGCAAGAAACAGCAATGTTTCTTTTATTAAAGAACAATATTCATTTATTTATTTATTTATATACAAGCCGCTTCTTTTTTAAACACATTCTCTAAAACATTAACTTTCATTGCACTTCCCAGTCTGCATATTTCGCTTCTTTATGTGAAAAGTTATAACAAAAAGTGCTGAACGAATTAATACATTCTGAACAAAAGCCAGATTCGTTTAAAGACAGCCATTTATATCAATAATTTATATCAATTGAATTATATCAATTTAGAGCTTTAAAACGGTAATTTTAAAATTTAATTTTAAATAAATGAAATATAAAATAATTTCATTGGAAATTGCAATAAAATGATATATTCATGGATTCAATAGATTCAAACGATTAAGCGAAAAAAATAAGCCGCGCTACTTGCTAACAATTATTTCTAATAAGAAAGGTAATAGTTTTTTTTTTTTTTTTTCAAATTAACTAAAAGCTTTCACGGTCATAGTTTCCATAAATAAAGAAATATATATAGATATATAATGATTTTAATGATTCCAGATAATGTAATTTTACGGTTTCAACTAGTAATTATTAATAACTGAAATGAATTTGCTTTTAAATCGATTAAAATTTGGAAACATCATTTTGCTAAGTGACAAAGCACTGCATAAATGTTCTGGAAATCTAAATATTTTTCGCTTTGCTCAGTGGCAACACAAAACTTTTCTCGAAGGGAAATGTATGTGTATTTAAAATTTGATTGCTCAAAGTGCCGCAGTTTTTCTCACTGAGAGGAGCATACTTACATACATAAATACATACGGATTCTCCATTATTTAATAATAAAGTTATCGAATCTTGCTCGTTTAGAGGGCATAAAATGGAGACTCTGCTGAAGACGAGATAGCGAATTCTCGCTACGTCTTGAAAAACAGATAACTGCCGAAGAAGCTTGTAACAAACTTTTTATTTTAACTAAACTGAACAGAACATGCACACACTCGGTGCTTACAACTAACCACCGCTTGTGGCTAAGAAACTTAAACTCAAAATAGAATGTACAATCAGAATGAATTAAATTTTAGCTACACAACTGGATCTTACTTCAATTTAAATTCGCTTTATCGGGCTGCATTATTGTTTAATATGAATATAGTTTAAAGAAAGCAGCTAGCACAAATATTCAGCTTCAGAGCTACTTACAAACACACGGCATTAACTCTTTCTCGTCTTAACCCGCTCTACTCGTAACTAGCTCTTCTACTGCAAATTCTTCAATTCTGCTATTCAAATATTATTTCCGAATTCATTGAGATTTTGCATATACGGCATTTAAATTTGCATTCTGGCAGGAAATTGAAATCAGAGGGGTAATGAAAGTTTCTTAAAAATAAAAATAATTGATTAGTACAAAATAAGGTCTTTAAAAAGTAAATAGATATAATTTTTTTGAGCCAACTAGTTTGAAATCACTGAGATAGTTTGAAATTAGTAAGGTAGGTTGATTCCAGTATAATGGTTTAAATCGAGTAAAGACGATAGATCCAGTAAAGTAACTCGAGTAAAGACGTCAATCGGTAAAATTTCTTTATGACCCAATAAGGTAGCTTGGACACTCTTAGATATCAGATATCTGGGTACTTAAGTGTACTAATAGAATACTACAAAACATAAGTATTATGCTATAACAAACTGTAATAGTAATGAAAACCGTTAAAGATGGAAAAATTTTGTTTCGTTTTCTAAATTTCGAATAAAGTTGCTCCGACAGCAAAACATAACAAGAATTTTAAATTCGTGATTAGCAGAGGTTTGATTAGAAATGACTGAAAATTACAGAAACACTAATTATGTATACTAAGACGAATCCAAATAAAATTAGCCAGCTTAATTACTGTTTAATCTGATAGCTTATCATTTCGAGCAACACATAAAGCAAACCGTGATAATTGCTTAACATGTGAAAGTGACATTTATATCAGGCATTCTATCTTTAAAGGCATTTCTTTCTATATTTAAAGCAAAGCCATATCTACTAACTAAGTTATTATACAAAGCTTAAAATAAAATGCGACAACCTTAATAACTAGCGCAAGACGAAGAAAATTTATTAAACAGAATTGCAGATTTCCTCGGTTAATGGGAATTTAGAGTCAAGAAATGTAGTAAACCTCAGATAAGCGATTTTAATGAACTGCAGTTTCTGCGCAAAATATGAATGGATAAACATAGGATAAACAAACTTATCATCTTTGCGTTTAAGGTTTGTCTTTTGGCCCCATTTATTTACGCACATTAAAATAAACTAAATTTAATAAGAAATGCTAGCAGTGTTGCTATTAAGTGGCAGCTCTAAGTAAGAAGCTTTAAGAAAAATGTTGCTTAATGTTACAGTGTCTTAAAAATTTAATAAAAGCAAACGAAAGCCTTTAATTTGTAAACTACCTTACATTAAAACTTTTGCTGTAATTGAAAGCGATAAAAATGGAAAAATAAAGCAGGAACATAATTTTTTTTTAAAATCATCAAAACTCAATTCATTTTGAATTCTACCATCATGAAAACTTCAGTTGTATTTAGTGAAATACAACTGAAGTTAACCAACTTAACTCAATCATTTTTAGTTTTGGTCAATCGTTACCACGACTAAGAGTGGACGGCTAACTTAAAGTCATAGGCATGAAGCCTGTCGTTGGTTGTAGACCTTAGATATCAGTAATAACAAAATGATTTTATATTTAGCAGAATTTTGATGTTGATCGGAAACTATGACCTAAATGTTGCTTACAACCAAACGTCTGAGAGAATTTTTATTGAAGAGGCTTTAAGTGTCTTTACCTCGTTAAGACATTACACAGTTACAAATTATCATGGCTGCATTAATTCAAACTTCAAAACTAGCCGGCATTACTAATCATCATACATTCCGCGATGTCCTTCTATCAAAGAATGTCAGAAATAAGATATTTCATTGGAGAAGTAAAGCCGATTTGAATTTTCAAATTAGTGTTAACAATGCAGAAAAAATAAGTTTTGTAAATAAAAAAGTTTGGATTTTATTTCTTTCGGTAAAGTCACCGAGTATTGCTTGTCTTCCGTTTACCTGCTGTGTTCCGAGAGATGCAACATTATTGCTAAGAGAATTACTTTCATCGATTTCTTAGCGATTAAAAGACTTTAATCTTATTTAATATCGCACTTGACAAAAAAACAGCAAAAAAAGCAAAATCATTTCGCCATTAAAAATCATACTGTAAAAATTTACTTTCACACTAAAAAATAAGTTGCCTTTGAAATATACAGCCTGTGTATGTATTCACCCCTCCTAATTCTGTTATTCTAGCCACAAAGATTTATAGTTAAGTTAACATTTTGTGTGTCTATTAAGTTTTAATAATTTCGTTACCAAACAGAGAGTTTGTTTGGATGTTTTGAAATCCAGATAATTTTATTATGCGCTACTCTCTCTCTCTCCATATATGCCTATATCAGCAGATGTATCTGAACCTCGTATTTAATAAAGAAATTTCTATTTAAAAGAAACATTTAAATGTTTTCACTTTTAATTTAGCGATATAATTCGTACTTATCACAGCCTTAAAAGAAAATTTCCGTTGAATTAATTTGTTATATATAAATCACTAATCTGTTCATTCATTCTCAAGAGACCTCGAGACTCCCATTTAATCTGCACATGCTTAAATGTCATCACAAATGAATTTTATGCTTATGAATGGAAATTCAAATTTTAATGATGACTGGATATCCTTGATCGTTGTATCGTAAAGAAGCATTGGTACCAGTTTAGATCTGTTCCTGTAGACGACAGTAGTATGAAAAGCAGTATTCTACTAAATCTTCAAAAAGCAAATCATGGCCGAGGTTCGAAACAGAATACCTTTCGCATAAGAAACAATAAAATAACATGCACAGCTGAAAGAATAAACTATTCTACTTTTTTAAGCACGTACTACAACTATAATCAACCTGAGCTTGTGATGTTGTATCACAGCCATATAGATGATATTTCTGTTTCTATCACTCCCTGAAAAGCCTGTCCTGCGAATAGATTCCACGGCAATAACGACTAGGTTTCGACTCGTAGACTAGAAAGCTATGCAGATTCAACTCTAAAACCATATTTACAGATAATACAGATTCTAATTATCCTAAAGTTTGTCTGTACTTGGTTCCATTGATGACTACGCTGTAACACTAATTGCCACCTATTCATCAAATCAAAAATTACGCATTAAACATTCAGCATGTATAAATCTTTTGCATTTTTATCTTTACTGCTCAGGATGATTGTACCTTACAACAAACATTGACTCCGACAGATATTTATAGAATAATGTATATTTCGATGTTACTTCCTTCAGATTTTTTCAGTTCTAAAAGAAATGTTATCACAGGTTATGCAAGGTTTCTCTTCCTCAAATTAACATCACCAGGAGTTTCTAACTACAGTGTAATTGTTACGTGAACGATTTATCTTCATGGAATTTTAAAACAAATTGCAAACTTACAAACAACCGATTTCGAGTTCCGAATTGCCTGACAAGTTCTGAATTCTCTTCTCAATCCAAGCAGACTGCGTCATGGAAAATATGTAAACTAATAATATCTTTTACACTAAAATGGCACTGATCTTTGCTACACTAGTACAAAAGTTATACCAGAGTAAACAATGAGAACGAGAGAAGAAGCAAACAATTTTCAACGCACTTTACATTTTGTTTACAATTTTTGGCATGTTTTAATTTTTTACATGCTAACCTATTCCATCCTTTCACTAACAAAAATTCTATATCAGCTCAAAGTAATTTTTCGGCTACATCTCCTGAATAAGATGTATTTAAAAAATTGATGCATTTGAAAGTCAATCTAGAGACCATAAAATTATTAGAAATAGATATCATTATGGAGAAGAAAATTGTTCATCTATATTGCTAATAAGAAAAGGCAAGATA